AAAACATTTAGAAAAACTTTACCATTTTGAGCGTAAATGTGGATAATGTGGTTGTAATGGTTTATTAATGTGCTAACCATCAAGAAAATGATACACAAATGAACCATTGCTGGTCATAAAAAGCACTACTTCTTTCCAAGACTAAGTTGTTTTAAACAATAATAACTAAAAACTGTTCAGACATGCCTTAGGTTGAACATCCTTGACAATGTGTTGAAAAGGAATGATGTCTCAGAAAATAGTCTTCTGTTCATAAATAAGTTACTGTGTTCTTTTCATGATATAATTTCTGACGTCAGCAACTAGATCGGGCTTGTAAAGCAAATGGGAAGCCACTGTGTGTGCGTAAGTGGGCAGCTTTGGCATTTTCCGAAACAAGAAAGTTATTCATAGTAAAACAATGTTGCCAATTGGGTTGGTTCCACATGGAATACATGTGATTTTGTGCCCAAAGGAATTCTTCTCCCAGGACTAAAGTCAAGGAACCAATGTGAAACATCCCTTTTTTGAGTTTCACAGCACTGCTGGTATAAATCTTGTTTCCTGCTTTCTGAGAGCATTTTCCTTTCATCCAAATGTCAAGTACGTTGTGGAGCTGATTACTCGAGTGATTGCAGCGCAATGTCCAAATTCAGATGAAAATGTTTCATCTTCCTACATCAGATCGCTGCAATGTATCCTCTAAATGATTTTAACTCTTCCTTTCCCTTACACTCATGTTGTATTCCTCCCAAAGCAAACTCAAAGTGTGATACAGAGTGGGCTTATATGGAAATAATTTTCATCGTTTTTTTCTCTGATTATTGATTCATTTCCCCTTCTGCCTTCCTTTCTCGATGTATTCCACCCTTACAGGGTCAAATGTGAAATCTGAAGGATGGATCTGTTTGGGAAGCAGTACAGAGCGCATGAACTAAACAACATTTCATCAGATTGTCAAGCCTGCAATGAATCTGTGAAGCCCACACATCAGCACAACACGTGCGCAGCCAGCTCAGCTCTGACACACTTCAGAAGGTGTGTCACACGCATGCAAAAACAAAAGCCAGAACATACACACAAACGTCAATGTACACCAGCGCAAACACATCATACACATCCATGGAGACGTTTGCTTGGCAGTGGAGTTCTCAAAGAAGAAATCTGAGTCATCCTTGTCAAAGATTTGGGTTTTTAAATGTCTGCCAGATTTATTTTTTGCACAGGTCAGTCAGGCAGTAACACAATCTAGTTCATTATAAGTGCACAACGCATGGTGAGGAACCAAGCAATTTTCTCAAGAAGGAGTTCATGAACTTGGAATTCACAAGAGAGAGAAGTGTTTTTGTACTGAGAATATCAACGGGCTAATATTTAGTGACCATTAAGTATTCTTGTACAGTATTTAAAGTCTACTGGGAGTACGTCGAGGACAAAACACTTAGATGTGGCCTATTTTTAATACTTTATCTGCTTTGTTAAATTTAGCTTTAATAGCTAAATCATTTTCTTTCAAGATAATCCGTCAAAGGGGTTTAGGAAATTCACATTAACGCTGGCTTCAAAAGTTTGTGTGCTTCCTGGTTGTTTTTAGACAATATCTTGATTGTGGGGTTTTTGATGCTAAGATAAAAGTGGCTAAATATATTCTACTGACATAACACTGTGCCAGTAACATTCGTGATTCTCCGTTTGAGGTGTGGCAAGGTAATATCCTTATTCTTTCAGGCAGTTTGTCTGAAATGCTTCCTTTAATTGTAAGTTGGACGTAGTTTATATAATGTGCAATGCCATGTGTCATTCATTTATCATCTAAAATAACAGCTGCGTAATGTTTCTGCATTCCTATTATCCATCTGATGACTATCTAGAAAGTTGACATCATATTTGTATATATTCTTAAGTAACATTGGCCATTTTACAAAGGGCCTTGTCCTCTTTAAATTAACTGTATTGTTTTGATTATTTATATAAAAACTGTCAATAAAATTTGATTTTTAATTATTTTTTACTGATATTTTTGCACAAAAAAAGCTACATAACAGAGAATAAAAACAAACTTCAGAAAAGTTATTAAAGTTACCAAACTTATGCTGAATACACTGCTGAATTCTATTATGTAGTGTATTAAAATCAGCTTGCGTCAGTCTACATAAATAATAATGATGTACATTCATTCATTTTCCTTTAGCTTAGTCCCTTTATTCATCAGGGAGTCACCACAGCGGAATGAACCGCCAACTCATTCAGCATATGTTTTACACAGAGAATGCCCCTCCAACTGCAACCAACCCAGTACTGGGAAACACCCATACACTCATTCACTATGGCAAGTTTAGTTTATTTGATTAACCTATACCCATGTCTTTGGACTGTCAGGAAACCCATGCCAGGGGAGAACATGCAAACTCCACACAAAATGTCAAGTGACCCAGCTGGAACTTGAACCAACAACCTTTTTGCTGTGAGGCATCAGTGCTAATCAGTGAGCCGCCATATAATTATGAATGATTATGAAACTCAAATGTTTAAAAACAAAAACATACAAAAAAGTAGTGTCCCCCTAAATAAATAATAAATAATGATAAGTTAGTTTTTAGTAACACTTAGTCCACTGTACTACAAAATGTCTCCAGATCAGAAAGTTTCAGAAATGTAAGTAGGCCTATTTTACGTTGATGTTTTATGTGCATTTAATACTTAAATACGATCTTTCTGACATGACATAAACTCATTATTAGACGCTACCAGACTTTAAATTCATTCTAAACATTGCAAACTGTTCTGCAAAGTTTTGCAAACTAGCTTTACTTTTCGACAACTAACGACCTCAACTCAAAAGCAAAACAAACCACCTGCCCTCAAAGCGCATGCGCGCTCACAGACTACGAGGTCAAATAAAAAATGTATGCGAAAATGACAATTAAAACTATACAGTTATAATAATTGCTGACAGAGATACCGAGTTATTAAACTGGTTTACCTTAGTTGTCATCAATCTCTGACAAATGGCAACACTACATTTTCAACCAAGTGTGTTTCGGTATTCGTCCATGGAATGGCGGTTTGCACCTGCCACTCACCTTCTTGGCCACACCCATTTCAGTAACAGCCCTGTGTGAAAGTTATAATTTGTAATTTGGGGCTATACTGTGATTCTTATATTGAGACTTAATATATAATCAAATTACTGATGCTCATAAACCTTTTTTATTTTTGACACGTGCCTGTCTATGAGTGTAAATTGTGTTCAATTCAATTAATCTTTATTCTATAGCACTTTTTACAATGTAGATCGTGTCAAAGCAGCTTAACATGGAAGTTCAAGTCAATTAAACTGCTTCAGTCCAGTTGTCACAGGTGGAGTTTAATTCATTTAATCATTCATGTTCCTTCCGTTTAGTCCCTCAGGAGTCACCACAGCAGAATAAATCACCAACTATTCCAGCATATGTTTAACGCAGTGAATGTCCTTCCAGCTGCAACCCAGTACTGGGACACACTCATACACTACATCCAATTTAGTTTAGTCCATTCACCTATACAACGTCTTTGGACAGAGAAAACCAATGTGAAGGAACAACATGCAAACTACACACAAAATGCCAACTGACCCAGCTAGGACTCAAACCAGTGACCTTCTTCATGTGAGCCGCCGTATAATTATGATGTTATGAAACATTAAAATTTAAAAACAAAAACATACATAAGCGTACTGTCCCCCTAATTCATAAATAATGACTAGTTTTCAGTGATATTTGGGACAATGTCCTACAAAATGTCCACAGTTTCAATTTCAGAAATTTATTTAGGCCTATATTTTGCATTGATAAAATATAGGCCAATACAATCTTTCTGACATGACATAACCTCATTATTAGATGCTACCAGACTCTAAAATCGTGATAAACATTGCAAACTGCTCAGCAAAGTTTTGCAAACTAATGTTAGTTTTACTTTTCGACAACAACCGACCTCAACTCAAAAGCAAAGCACCTACCTTCCTAGCGCATGCGCACAAAAAGTGTTTCTCACAGACCACGAGTTCGAATAAAAAATGTAAACGAAAATGACAATTAAAACAAGTTATAATGATTGCTGCCAGAGGTATTGAATCATTAAACTGGTTTACCTTAGTTATCCTCGGTGTCTGAATTATTCGCTATTCGTCCAAGGAATGGCATTTTACACCTGCTACTCGTCTTCTTGGCCACACCCACTTTAGCAACAGCCCTGTGTGACACGATGTAGATGTCGCATTTTGTCAAAACATGTTTTATTTTAGGGCTACACTATAATTCTTATATATTGAGGCTTTTTATATATGATCAAATCATTGATGCTCAAAATCTCTTTTCATTTCTAACACATGTACCTGTCTATGAGTGTAAATTGTTCAGTTTAGTTCATTCATTCATTTTCCTTCAGCTAGTCCCTAATTTTCCTGCAGATAAAAACAGCTTAAACCAGCCTAAGCTGGTTTGCTGGTTTTAGCTAATCATCCAGCTTGGTTTTTAGAGGAGTTTGAGCCATTTCCAACCTGGTCTTAGCTGGTTAGGCTGGAAGATGACCAGCTAAAACCAGCTTGACCAGCCAAGTCAGGCTGTCACCCCAACCAAAACCAGCTATGTCCAGCTTAAACCAGGCTGGTCAATTTCCAGGCTGACCAGCTAAGACCATGCTAGAAATGGTCCAAACCTTTCTAAAACCACGCGCGTCAATCAGCTAACCCCAGCCAACCAGCTGGTTTAAGTTTTTTTCAACAGGAGGTCACCACAGAAGAATGAATCGCCAGCTATTCCAGCATATGTTATACGCTGCGGACACTCTTCCAGCCACAACCCAGTACTGGGAAACCGTTTAGTTCAATGTAATGTATTATAAAACATAATAGGTAATATAATAATGTGTATAATACACTCATAAAAATATAGTTTTTATTCATTGCTTAGACACTAATATAAATGGGAAAAGGCAAAACAGTTTAAACAAGTGAAAGCAATGAAATCACTGTTCAAAAGTTGTTAGAATATTTTTGGCTTTATTCATTAAATAAATAAATAAACAGCTATGTACACAATAAATATTCTGTAAAGACAGAGTCAATAAAAGAAACAAACTATTTTGCAGATCAAGACATGCATGTGTGATCTATAAACATTGCACCACACACGCACACACACGCACACACACACAAGAAGTCAGTTTCTCGTTGAGGGATCCCTGGTCCCAGCCCAGTATTTCTTTCCTCTTGATAATCTTTTCCTCACATCACTCCTCCTCATCGAATTACATCATTTGTAAATCTACAGAGTCTTAGTAATCGAAAAAGCTCCATCTGGTCCACATTCCCTCCTCATTGCCCTTGCATTGAAAGACATCGTCAGCTCGTGCTGAGTCAGTGGCCAACTGTTCTCCTCATCTGTCCGGCTCAGTTGCATCGCTGCAGCAGCATGTTGAGTGCGTACTCGAGACGACTGCGCAGATCCGCAGTGCAGCCCGCGCTCAGCAACGTGCTCAGCTGGAAGGTAGCGGACGTTCTCTCCTCGTTGATGTACGTCAGCAGATACTCATCCTGCTGCGTGCACAGGATGAGCTTGGTGTGGTCGTGATAAAAGTTCACCTGTTGGGAGAGGAAGAAAAAGAGCTTTGTTATTCCTGCCGTGAAACACTCTCGCAGGATGCAGGATGTTATTACAGCAGAGTATGTGACCTTCTTCTTCCCACAGGGCTATAGGATACACAGCTTTTTAATCTGAACAAAGGCAGACCTGACTGATAACTACTCATGACTGCGGATGGGCGTTGAGAGCACTAGACAGAAGCTTTTTACATTGAGTTCTACCAACGTTTACACAAGTGCCATTAACTGCGGTGTTCAAGGAATGCTTTCACCCAAAGATGAAACTTCTATTGTCATTTTTGACCACAAAATAGACGTTAAAGAGACAGTTCACATGAAATGAAAATACTGTCATCATTTATTCACTCATCACTTGTTCCAAACCTGTTTGCATTTCTTTCCAACCACTAAAGAAGATACTTAAAAGTAAGATGAAAACCTGTAATCATTGACTCCCACAGTATTTGTTTTTCCTACCATGGATGTAAATGGTTACTTGTTTTCAGCTTTTTTCCTTTGTATATAGAATAAAGAAACTCATAAAGGTTTTGGAATGATTTGAGGGTGAGTAAAAGTACAATGTTTATGCTGCTTTTATCAAAGAATGCAAAAAAATTACTATTTGTTAAATGTTATTATTTTTTATACCTAATATCTAACACTTTTGAATCTGAATCAATAAATATTGTTCAGTTTCTTGCACACACCAATTGTTTCAAGTCCTCAATGTACCATCGTGAGCCTTGAATATCACTCTGCATATGTTTCAAATAGCTTTTTGGATGAACTGTCCCATTAAGAGCTGTTTTTTTAAGAAAATAAGGGTCATAATTTTACCTGAAATGTGCCATCGTTGAAAAGCATCAGTAAAGCTCTGTCTGATTTCAGCCACTGCAGCAGGTATATTCTTGTCTTCTGAATATCTGGTTCACTTATCACATCACCTCCCTGCATCAAATAAAAATAAATTGCATACATTAGAACTTCTTGTAATGCAAACCAGAATATAAAATCAAATCTTCTGACTTTAAATGTGAATACAAGCATAAGGGTTAAGACTAAGAGTGCACTCACATCCATCAAATTCTCCTCCATGTAGTGGGCGAAGTACTTGAGGATGGTGACATGTGCCACAGCACACTCTGGAGCCTCAATAACAGAGAAAACAGACTTCTGACCGAGGGCAGCATACTGATGTACAGTCCTGAAAGACAAAAAGTAAGAGAATTATCAATAACTGCACTTTCAAAGCAACACAGTGCTCATGGATTGTTTCAGTAAGCACATATATGAGGTCTATGACTAATGCTTGCTCTTCTGCAATCTTTCATCTGTAATGCCATTGCAGCTGACATTTGCAGAATATTGGTGCAATTTTCTTTCTTAAGATTATAAAGAATCTACGCTGAAGGCTAGGAAAGGGAATCAGAGGGAATAATAATGATCATATTGAATATACTGTAGACTACCGTTCTTTTATGCTCACCAAGGCTGCATTGATTTGATCAAAAACACAGTAAAATAATGATATCGAGAAATGTAACATTCCTAAAGGGGCAAAGCTGAATTTTTAACATCATTACATCAGCTTTCAGAGTCACATAATTCTTTAGATATCCTCCTAATATGTTTCAGTAATCATTAGAATTTATTTGATTTTCAATTTGAATTGAGGTCCAAACTTAAGTAAAATATTTCAAGACATTATAAGTCTCTACATTTACCTCTGATCACTTTATATGGAGCCAGATCAGTAAAAAAAATACATTTGCAAAATAAAATTCATACAAGCACAGAACAATTCACACTTACAAAATCCAGTTTGTAAATTCAAAACACAATTCATAAATACAACACAGAACTTGTGAATTAACAAGTACAAATCATAAATATTTTTGCCAAATGAATTGAATTTGTGCATATTATGAATCTTGTTTTTAATTTATTGGATCTGTTAATTTTCGAATCGTGTTTTAAGTTTACGAATTGGATTTGTGCATTTTTGAATCGTGTTTTGAATTTACAAATGGGATTTGTATATTCTACAATCATGTTTTGAATCTATGAATTGAATTGGTGCATTTACGAGTTGTGTTTTGAGCTTACAAATTGGATTTTGTTAATGTGAATAGCGTTATGGATGTATAAATTATATTTTGCAAATGTATTATTTTTAAGACTGATCTGGCTCCATAACTTAAATGCACCACTGATGAACAAAACTGATTTAAACTTTTGAATGGTATAATGTATTCCTATAGATTCTTATTTCCCCTATTTTCCATTACATGTAGTCACCAATTAACTCTCTCTGACAGTTAATCACTAAAACCACCAATATTATAACACTCTTTAATAAAATCTTCAATAAATATTCATAATGAATGTTAAATTATGCTTAAATTCACAAGACATTTTGCATCATTTCAACATTCTGCTTTAGCCCACACTGCAGATTTCACACTGCATTAATATGGACAGCAAAACATCTGGCAACATCGAAAATCAATCTGACATCACACGTGAACGATTTATTAAAGTTGAACTTTATAATTTTAGTTTTTAAAGACTAAGCAAAACTGAGCTAGCAAACAGTCAACTTGAAGCACCTACTTCTTGTCAGAGAGAAGACTCATGTGAGTCCCACTGTTGAAAAGGACGCCCACCGTGTTGTCAGACAACTGGTAGCCAAAGCCGTATTTGTTTGAATAGTCAACCCACTTAGTCACCCACTTCAAGCTATTACAACCATTTCCTCTGGGAAGGCTGTCCGCTGTAGGGGGAGAAAAAAAAGCATCTTTTTAGATGCAAAGATAACACATTTTCTTTCCTCAGTCAATCTAGAAAACATTGAGTGTGAAGCATAATGGGTCTTATTCACCTTTAGGCATGTGTTCGAGACAACCTCTCAACACACTAATAACAGCCTCAGCCACGGTGCCAGTAGTGCTGTCTTCAAGACCTGCAGAGAGACAGCGGGATGCATTACGTCAGCTTGCAATACTAATGAGCTGGAATCAGACTGAACAGGTGAAACACACACACACACGCTTACATTCACTGCTGCTACTGCTGCTGCCCAAGCTGCCTCTAACAATCAAATGAATGGTATCTCTCGTCGTCTGCGGCCTTCCGGCAGTTGCCTGGGTAACAGGCTTTCTTGTAGGTGCTGACGGATTTCCTCCTTCCTAAAGAGGAAAAATCACAGCATACGCGTGTCACGCATGACCTAACACTTAGCCTTTATTAATATCTCAGTACTGCGCATTAGAGTCTGCTATAAAAGGGAACGACGCTCACCTCTGGCGAGTGTGTAGTAATCTGATTACTTATTGCAGTCTTTCGGAAGTCTTGTCGGAGCTTGAATATGTCTTCCTCTTCTTTTGCCAAGCGATCTGTCGGAAGGAGAACTGTTAGTCGTGGGTGCACTGAATGGATGGTAATAATGCCATGGTTACATAAAGCAAGAACATACTTATGTTTTCATAGTACTTGGCCTTGTCCTTCTTTCCGCCGAAAAGAGCCGCGGCCGCCTTTTTAAAGAAGCTCTTGGCTGGACTGGAAATGTGGAAGTCTGGGGCAGAAAGGCAGCAGCTGACGGGCAGCGTTTCTGGCATGAAGCCCTGCGGAGAAGTCATAGCAAAAACATTAAAGAAAAAGCCAACTGCTTGGGTGGGTGTTCTGAAACCTGCAGCGCAACAAATTAACCTACCTGAGTGAAAAATTCATGCCGAATGATGTCATCCAGGTGCGGGCGATCCACAGGATTCTGGGCGAGCATACCGGAAATTAGCTGTTTGGCAGGAAGGGAGAGGGAGGACGGGAGGGTGTAACGGGCCTCTCGAATACAGCGGTATGTCTCCTTCAGGTTAGTGGTCTCGAATGGAGGTTTGCCCAGGAGCATGGTGTACCTGAACCGGAAGATGAAGGCAAAACATCTTTAAAGAGATGGTTCAGCCAAAACTGAAAAGTCTGTCACCATTTATAAACCCTTACGTTTTTACAAAGCTTCATCTACATTTTTAAAAATGTTGGTAAACTAACAGTTAACACAAAACACTGTGTTTTAACAACTAACAACACTAACAACTATAGATGTTAATATTAGGTTCAATTTAGGTCATTGGAAAGTTGGACACTGATGTCGGTCTGACGCTGGGTTCTGACGTCAACCCAATTTTCATTTCCACTCAAAAAGCAACATTCATACTGGAATTCGGTACCAATCGATACTGAAGTACGTTTTTTACATTTTTTAACAGCGCTGATTTGCCATTGTGTTCGAGTGCTCAACAGAAATGACTGTTATTGGCCATGAAGGTCATCAATTCACTGAACTCACCGCTGTTTTCTGAGTGTAACCACAGTTACAGAGACACTAAAGCTTTTTGAAGCTGTGATTCATCAGCGGATCGCTCGTATGTCAGCTTATAGACAAACTAGCTGATCGACATGACTTTGAGCCACTCCAGTGTCCCTGTACCTGTGGTTACACTCAGTAAAGAGCGGTAAATTTGGTGAACTGATGACCTTCACGGCCAATCACAGTCATTTCTGTTGAGCTTTTGAACTCAATGACAAATCAGCACTGTTTAAGAACGTGCTCAATAGCACTCAAATGTTAGCTTGGAATGGGCGTTTTTAGTATTTATTGGTATCAAATTCCAGTATCGTGACCTTAGTTTCCACAAGGTTGAGGTACAATGTCAATCTGACATAATTTTGACGTCCTATGCTTGCTGGACTGTTTGTAATTTCACATATTTTCAAAATGTCTACATTGTGGCATTCAACAGAAGAAGGATTAGGCTCCTAAAAATAGGTTAGGCAAAAGGAAAATTCTACTATTATTTAATCAAGTACATGTCCTTTTTCATTAGTTAATGTTTTTGTACCATTCATTTAAACCATTTTTGAGACTATTCTGGCTTGAATGATCACTTAAAGGAAGTTTTTTTTGATAGCTAGATTGACAGACTAAAACTGAAGTCGTCATTCATTTATTTCACAATAAATAACGCATGAAATGCAAGACCACTTTAGTGTTACACTTTATCAGCCATTCACGTTCATTATTCTAACAAGAGCAGCTGCTATATTTTTCAAAAACCCATCTTTTGTGTTCATCGGATGAATGAATTCATTCAAGGTTTTGAAATGAGACTAAGGGAAAGACGCCAGCATGTAATCACTGCAGATGAACTGTACGCCACTCGCTGTGATTATGACATTCAAACACTAAAGGTAAAGCATGATCACCAGACACAAAAATACTCATTCATCTGAGTCTGAATCTGCAATCACCGCCTATTCATGCTGAGCACTTTCCAAATATAGCGTATAAAAGGAAACCCTCGGATCTGAGGGTGACAAACTTACATGATGCAGCCCAGAGCCCACACGTCAGACTCCCAGCCATGGCCCTGTTTGTTCAGCACTTCCGGGGACAGGTAATTGGGTGTACCGCAGATCGTTTTGCGTCTGTTGCTGACTGGCTCCAGCTTGGCAGCCAGCCCAAAGTCACCCACTTTCAGCTCCATTGAGTCACTCACAAACAGGTTGCCTTTGAATGATGAAAAAGAAGAATTTTAACTATTTATGCACTGATGGAATGTTAATATGCATCCTGTGTGGACAGCATGCCAATGCATACATACCGAGTTTCAAGTCACGATGCAGGATTTCCAAGTCGTGCAGGTATTTTAAAGCAGAAACTGTTTGTTTCAGGTAATACCTCACTTCTGGTTCTGTTAGGACTTTACGTGCCTTCAGTATATGAGCCAGTGACTAAAAAAAAGATTAACAGGAGTCAATTAGGGTGCATTTGCATGACACATTACTATAAAATTGTTCACTTTAAAAATGCATACCCTTCTTCCACAGTACTCCAACAGAATATAGATGTTGTCTTTGTCTTCAAAGTGATGGTAGAAATGCACTATGTGTTTGTGGCTGAGAGTTCTGTGCAGCTCGATTTCTCGATTAATCTGGAACAAAAGGTACAGAGAATTAATGAGACATCTTATTTATCAAATTCTATTGCAATATAAACAAACTCTATAATTATAATTATTATTTTATAACTATATAACATTTTTGTACATATGCAGTGTTTATCCTACCTTCTCTCTCTGGTGGGGTTTGGACACACGTGTGTGTGGAATGATTTTGGCTGCATAGATTTTACTTGAGGACAGGTCAGTCATTTCATAGCACTTTGCAAAGCCTCCCTATGGCAAACAGAGAGAAGATAATGTTAATCAAGATGCACAAAATGATAGACAGACAGACAGACAGACAGACAGACAGACAGACAGACAGACAGACAGATAGATAGATAGATAGATAGATAGATAGATAGATAGATAGATAGATAGATAGATAGATAGATAGATATAGAGATAGATAGATAGATAGATAGATAGATAGATAGATAGATAGATAGATAGATAGATATAGATAGATAGATAGATAGATAGATAGATAGATAGATAGATAGATAGATAGATAGATAGATAGATAGATAGATAGATAGATAGAGATGAGAAATGCATTTTATAAAAGCAACACAAATAACATAACAATAGTAAAAAGTAATAAAGTATTTACATAAAATAAATACTTTCTGTACAAATAAGGAATATAGTATTTCAAATAATATCTGCATCAACTTTGAGGTCATTACCTTTCCCAGAACTTTTCCCCGGCAGTAACATTTCCCAGTGTTGGGGTCAGTGATGATTCTGGAATACTCTGTCCGACTGTTCTCCTCGGATTTTTTCCATCCTTGCTCACTTATTTTACTGAGCTCACACATCTTTTCGCTGTGTGTGGTTATAGTTGGGTAGGAGGTATTCCTTAGTGTCTCCATGGCTGTGTGTTACTGTGCTTTCTGTCACAGTGCTGCCGGAGCAGAGTGTCTCCTGGCTTTTATAGCTCTGACGAACTGCGTCACGAAAGGGGAAGACCCTATATGGCGTACAGCTCTGGCGTACAGCGCTGTCATCTGTGTGAACTACCTCACCACCGTATTCATTATTTAACATCCCAGACACTCCTATAGACACCTACTAGACAACGATTACAGCGAAAACCAGGTCTGGATGAGCAATTGTTCCAGACGTCCACACTTTAATCTCTCAGTGCGCAGTGATGATAGATACTCCAGTCGAAATCTCAGGTCTAAATACATATACGGTCTTGTTAAACGAAAGACTTCATATAAAGTATTTGAGGGAAAAGCACTGTCGTGATATTAGCAATATTTTATTTATTACAGAAGCAATCGTCGATACATGATTTGTGCGTTTTTTTAAATTGTCTAAATCATTAGGAAGTTTAAGAGCACCGCCTTGTGGCCAAATGGATTCACAACGTCTGGCATGTTATGGTTATTTTAAAGATTACAGATGTAAATATAAAATGTTGTATTACAATGAGGATGTATTAGTTAATTTATTTACTAATTTAATATAACTACTAGCAACAGATTTAATACTGAATTTGTTCATCTTTGTTGACGTTAGAATGAAAATAAAGTTGTTCATTGTTAGTTCATGTTAAGTGAGTGCGTTAATTAATGTTAACAATCATGCATTAGGATTTTGATAATGCATCAGTAAAACTATGATTTATAAATGTTGTACAAGTATTATTAGTTAGTAAATACAATAATGAAATCGTATTGTAAAGTGTGAACAAGATTAAGTACTGAAAATGTATTTCATAATCTAAAGGGATTGCTGTAACTCAATTTTCTAAAAGTAAATTATAAGCATTCCCTTATTTTACATTGCATTATTTGAAGTTAGCAAATGCATGCTTTCACTTATTTCATTAATTCTTTTAAATTAGTTTTAGACACACAAAATTGTTTGAATAGCTCTGCTGCTAAACACCAGAAGAGCTAAATAACATCTACACTAGTGCAAATGTAAAAAAATTCTTAAATCAACATACTTTTACTCTAAAGGCAAACTTACATGAGCTGCAAAGTCTCATTTTCTGTGAAACTAATCAAAATGAAGCAGATTTATGTCTAAAACAAGACCAACAATCTGCCAAAGAGCTTAGAAAAATCCACTTTATTCAAACCTAAAAAGTCATTTCCACACCTCACTAGCATTTGTTCTTATTTTAAGCAGAAACTCACTCAGTTTTGATTTGTTTGCTAAGAAAACAAAATTTAACTTCTTCATTTTGTATCTAAAGTAAATGCTTCTTGGTTTAAGGATGCTTATGTCACTGTATTGAAAAACACAAATATTCTCGACAGGGTTTTTTTTTCTAGTGCAGGTGTCATTTTGCCATTACTTATTAAATTTTATACTTTCTGCTCAGATTTTCTAAAAATTCATTCATTCAGTCATTTTCGGCCTGAAGGGCATCCGCTGCGTAAAAACATGCTGGATAAGTTGTCGGTTCATTCCGCTGTGGCGACCCTGGATTAATAAAGGAACTAAGCCGAAAAGAAAATGAATGAATGAAAGATTCAGTCATTTTCCTTCGGCTTTTATTTTTCCTTTCTGCTCTGATTTAAAAGACCTTAAATTGTAAATCCTACAATGGACGATTAAGACCTTTTAAGACCGTTCTTAAAATACAGTTAACTTGCCTAAAGTTTAAATAACATAGCATAATTTAATCATATGAATTACCTGTATTCCCCCTTTTTAATGGGAATTCTGGCCTGTACAGCATCAGAGTTCTTGACTCTAATTATTATAATTATTCAAGGAAGTCCTAATTTTGACATTTTTCCCATTATTCATTCATTAATTTTCTTTTTGGCTTAGTCCCTTTATTAATCTGGGGTCACCACAGCGGAATGAACCACCAACTTATCCAGCAAGTTTTTATGCAGTGGCAGTCGCAACTCATCTCAGTGAAACATCCACACACACTCATTCACACTCATACACTACGGACAATTTAGCCTACCCAATTCACCTGTACTGCATGTCTTTGGACTGTGGGGGAAAACGGAGCATACGGAGGAAACCCACGCAAACGCAGGGAGAACATGCAAACTCCACACAGAAATGCCAACTGACCCAGCAGAGGCTTGAACCAGCGGCCTTCTTGCTGTGAGGCCACAGCACTACCTTCTACGCCACTGCATCACCATTTTTCCTATTATATTTACAAATAGTTTTTTTTACAAATTTAAATGTATTTATAAAATGTGACAGCTAAAACACCTAAAATAAATTATTATTTATTAATTTATTCATTTTCCTTTGGCGTAGTCCCTTTAATCATCGGGGATCGCCACAGCAGAATGAACCGCCAACTTATCTAGCAAATCCAGCAACTTATCACTGACAGTGACAGGAGGAAACTCACACAATTTTGTTTTGTTTTCTTAGAAAACAATATTTAACTTCTTCATTTTGCATTTAAATAAATATATCTTGATATAAGGATGTTTATGTCGTTGTATCGAAAAACACAAATATTCACGACAGGTTTTTTCTAGTGCAGGTGTCATTTTGCCACTACATATTGAATTTTACACTTTCTTCTCTTTGTTTTTTTTTTTATTCATTAATTAATTTTCCTTCAGCTTTTATTTTTTCCTTTCTGCTCTGATTTAAAAGACCTTAGATTGTAAGAGTGGATTAAGACTTTTTAAGACCGTTCCTAAAATGCAGATACCATGCCTAAAGTGAAAATAACACAGCATAATTTAATCATCAAAAAACACAAATATTTATGAAAGGGTTTTTTCTAATGCAGGTGTCATTTTGCTATTACTTGTTGAATTTTACACTTTCTGCTCTTTAAGTTTTTTTTTTATTATTCATTCTTTAATTTTCCTTCTGCTTTTATTTTTCCTTTCTGCTCTGATTAAAAATACCTTAAACTGTAATAGTGAATTTAAACTTTTTAAGACCTTTCTTAAAATGCAGATACCTTGCCTAACGTGTAAATAACACAGCATAATTTATTACCCGTTTTCCCCCTTTCAAATGGGAATTCTGACCTGTCCAGCCTCTTGTCCAGTTCTTGACTTGATCTAATTATTATAATCATTCAAGGATGCCCTAATTTTGACATTTTGTCTATTACATTTACAAATAAAAAATGTACAGATTTAAACATATTTACAAAGTCTTTCTCAGTCTTTTCTAGATCTGCTATTCTTGGATATTAAAAGACCAGGGTCACCTGAGTGTTCTGTTAGCATAGTGTAACACTGGCTCTTTATTTCACAGTTTAGTTCAGAAATACACAACACAGAAAAGCTACTTTTCTACAAAATCTATGATAGCATATAAGCATACTCTAAAAAATACAAAAATAGGAAATTATTATGTTTTACATTAAAGTGACAGGTACCTATCAGGCAGTGCTAAATCATGAAGCAGGTTTTTTTTTTTTTGGACAAAAGGCTTTTCTCCTTATTTCATGGCAGCTTGTGTTGAAAGTTTGCGAATGACATTCATATCATATGCCCATGTCTGGTCCAGCCCCTCACCCTCAGTGGCTGTCGGAGTCCAGTCTGGAAAGGGGAAGCGACAGGCGATGACTCGAGCCTCATCTGGTAACTCCTTCTCCAACTTTCTACCCAACACCTCCATCTGTAGACCACGAAACACACTGTATTTACATAGTAAATTAATGGCATGGCAAACAAGTTATTTTGTTGGATTTACATGGAATCTAAGTAATACCTAATTAAAGGTACCTAATTACAATTATATATACTTTGAATTTTGAAGGGGAAAAGTCAGAATCGTGCAATAAACTGCAAGAATTTTCCACAAAATCCCAATGATTAGGGAAAAAATCATCACACAAATAAATATACAAAAAAATAATACACCACTTTGCCGTTTTCAGTGACAACAAATGAAAAAATGTATTTGGAATTTGGAGGACATTTTAACAGACCTTTAAAGAATAAAACAAATATTAACATTTTCCTCAAACCCAAACCTAATAAATTAAGAAAATCTAGAGAGAAATTGAGAAACTGTGATGGTCTTTTATTTGTCCCCGCAGCTGTGTGTCTGGAACAGGTGATGTAACTCTTTGTACTGCTCTTTATATTTTTAATCCACTCCGTCTTTTTAATCAGCCGAGTATAAATCCAGAAAGGACACTTGTGGGTACTTACCACTCCGGGTGCCAAGAAAACAGTCACATTGTTATATTTGGACAAATCGGTCTGTGAAGGGAAATGATAAAACTGAATCATCAACACTTGGACATGTGCAATGAAGTACAGTTTGTACATGGTTCATGTCATTTCTCAATGGCTGTTTTTCCACACGGGTGTAAAACCTAGTGTTTTAAAGGACAGTGGCAAAGCACAAAGATTTTAAATGACAATTAATTAGTATTTAAGTGCTGCAGTATGATCCTAAAATAGACAGTCTTTAATAAGAGTATTTTAATGTCATCAAACTAGTAGTGTAAATATGCCTATATATATATATGCTATATAAACTATTGACATTTTCTGTAAATCAATATACAAATGTATTATGAATCTTAATTTTATTCTTAGAAACAAATATACAGTTAAAGTCAAAACTATTAGAACTCATGTTTTTTTTTTCTTTTTTAAATATTTCCTAAATAATGTTTATGAGAGCAAGACATTTTTCATTTAGTATTTCCTAAAAAAAATTTTCATCAGGAGAAAGTCTTATTTGTTTTATTTCGGCCTGAATAAAAGCAGTTTTAATTTTTTTTAAACCATGTTAAGGTGTTTATAATTAACCATCTTAAGCAATATTTGTCTACAAAACAAAACCATTGTTATACAATGACTTGCCTAATTACCCTAATTTGCCTGATTAACCTGGTTAAATCTTAAAATATAGTGTCTTGAAAAATATCTAGTAAAATAGTATGTATTGTCATCACGGCAAATATAAAATAAATCAGTTATTAGAAATAATTATTATTATTAAAACTATTATGTTTAGAAATGTGTTTTAAAAAAATCTCTCCATTTAACAGAAATTGGGTTAAGAAATTTAATTCAGGAGGGCTAATAATTCTGACTTCAACTGTGTATTTTAAATACATTTTAAATATTATATTTTCATTTGTTTACTGTAAGTGCAAACACTGGCACAACAACACAATAGTTACTACAACGTTTACATTGACTATTTAAAAAAAAAACATTTTCTTTGTAATTATATTGGGTGCAACATAGAAATCATAAATGCCATACCTTCCAAAAGTCCTGGTTTACAAAACTCGCAGTGCTGGATGGTATTCCCTTCCAATTTGATTTGACTCTGGCATATCCAGTCAGGATAGAATTGATTTCAAAGCCAGTGCAGTGGAAACCCTTTGCAGTGGCAGCAAATACCTACAAAACAAATCCAAACCTACACTTTGAGAAGTGGGGTCTGTGATATTAAAATCATAAAGAAGACATTGTTTGTTTTCCATACTGTAAAAGAAACCAAGAGGAATATTTTTCACTTGTTTTACACTCGATTAAGTGATGAAAAGATTTTTCCATCTAAATTTGAGTGTTAATGAGATCTATTTTTGAACACAAACAAGGCAGCCCCAGGTAGGATGCCCAGTGGCCATAATGACGGTGAGAAATCACCATAAAAATAATCCACAGTTTAGTCATTTCAGCTTAGAAAGCCAAGCCCCCAGAGTTTATGAACAACATCCAACAGCACAGTCATGCAAAATTATAAATAGCCTGTTCTCATGTCTGTTTTTTTATTATATTCTTATACAGTTCAGATAGTTTCAATCCCATCCAGCTGCAAAGCGTCTCACCATGCATTGCGGTGAGAAAGCAGTCGTCTCCAGAAAGCCATCAGAAGCGTCTGAAAAAGTTCTTAGAAGCACAAAATTTCATATGTAAATCTCACATAGCAACTGAGATTTACATCATTAGACGTGTTACTGTACATTATAAGGTTAGATGTACAATCAATAAATAAAGAATCCATTGGTATTATGCAAAATGATTGTACAGCTGAAGTCAACATTATTAGCCCTCCTGTGAATTTGTTTTCTTTTTTAAATATTTTCCAAATGATGTTTAACAGAGCATGGATTTTTTCACAGAATATCCTATCATATTTTTTCCTCTGGAGAAAGTCTTATTTGATTTATTTCGGCTAGAATTAAATTTAAAGACCACTTTAAGGCCAATATTATAAGCCCCCTAAAGCAATATTTTGCCTAATTAACCTAGTTAAGGCTTTAAATGGAGTTAACTTGTTAACAAAGGTTTGGCGGCAGAACCACGCCTCACTTTGTCACCTTAACCAATCACCTGCTCCCTAAAGCTTATTTAAGGCAGACCAGCCCTCTAGCACTGTTCTTCTCCTTCTTTCGAACCCGCTTTCCCTCCCTCTATTTCCTTGCTTCTCATTCACAATCCTATAACTCTCTCTTCGCTCCGAGGATGAATCGGTGGGGTCCAATGACTCTACCAATATACAACAGACGGTACCCTCACTTAGAGTCTCTGAGTATCATTGTGAGACGCTCGATCAACGTTCCTACCTGTTCACCGTTTATCCTCTTACTTCTTTTCCCTTCACCGCACTGTTCCATCCCCTTCATCCCTACATGCGTACAATAAAGTCTAGCTCAAAGTGTGGCGTGGTCCATGGTGGTGAAATTGTGCTTTAAGCTGAATACTAGTATCTTGAAACATATCTAGTAAAATATTATGTACTGTCTTCATGGCAAAGATGAAAGGAATCAGTTATTAAAAATGAGTTATTAAAACTATTATGTTTAGACATAAACAGAAATTGGAGGGGAATGTACAGGAAGGCTAATAATTCAGGAGGGCTAAAAATTCTGAATTCAACTATACATAAAGTATCTGAAATTTCATTCTGATTGATAGTAAACGTTAAACACTTACCAGTCGCCCATCACCAGACCCCAGATCCGCCAGACACCCTGCTCTCCCACGCAGGAGCTTCATTACATTCTGGGTCTGTGTTCTACTGGAGGGCAAATAAGGCACCTGGACAATATTAACTTCACTTACATCAGTGATCAATTGGACTATGGAGTATGAGTCTAAACAAACACAGCATCCAACATAATAAAGAGCAGGTTGTTGCCTTTTAAGATAAATCCACTATGACACTGAATGAATACAGTGCTTCCGGCAGTGCTCTATTATTAGAAAAGCTATATTTAGCTTCAGATATATCTTATATGACTTCCGGTACCTTGAGGCATATTGGTACTTTCCGGAAGCCAGGGAGTGCAAATAATGTCCAGAGCCCATAAACTCCCGCAAGAAACGCTCCAGATGCTGCTGTGACCAGTGGCTTTTCCTCTGTGTGACGAGAGAGCTCACAGCTCTTGTGCTGAAGGATGACCTCCACTGAATCTTCCATGATGGAGCACTGAAAGAAAAGAGCAAACAAGTAGGGGTGAGCGGGGAACAAACTAATTTTAGTTTGAATTTAACAATTTTTTTAAATTACATTAAAGGGCACCTATGATGAAAATCATATTTTGTAAGCTGTTTGGACAGAGCTGTGTGTAGTCTGCACAGTCATATTGGGGTGATATAAAGATAATAAGTCTCTTTTTTAATTTCCTGACGTTAAAATAGGATCCAAATCCCTCCCGTTTTGAAGCTCACCGCAACATGATGTAGGAGTGAGGTTTCCTCGCCCACCGAATTGATTGACAGTCACGCATTAACATGTCTCCATAGTAATAAGTATAATCATATGAACAAGACAGGACGTGTGCAAAGCACATATATCAGCTAAAGTGATTTTCTGATTATTTTTCTTCTCAGTTTTTAGGCAAGGCAAACTGTATTTATAGAGCACAATTTTACACAACCGTATAGTTGACTCAAAGTACTTTACAATAATACAAATTAAATAAAATATAAATGAGTATTCAGAATATAAGAGAATTATGAATGCTTACAACAGATATAAAATAACATGCATGCATTACTCAAAGGCAAGGGAGAAAAAATAAGCCTTAAACTAGATTTAAAAGCATCCAATGATTGAGAAATGTTCAGAGGGAGACTTTTAGTGTTTATTTAATAATCAGTCTGTCATTTAGCAGTAAATGGGTTACAACAGTGGTGTTCAAACTTGGTCCTGGAGGGCCGGTGTCCTGCAAAGTTTAGTTTCAACACCAATCAGACACACCTGAAGCAACTACAAAACTTCCAGGAAAGGGTGTTGAAGAAAGTTGGAACTAAACTATGCAGGACACCGGCCCTCCAGGACAAAGTTTGGACACCCCTGGGTTACAATGTGCACAGCTTTTATTAAAATTATATGCTTTTCTATGACATTTGTTCTCTTACTATATGTCCATGACATAACTTTTACTCTTTTGGGATAATTAAGGCACTAACAAACTACAGCAAAAATATAAGCAAAATAATTATTAAACGAAACCACTACACAAGTGCAAAGCTAATTTGCAATAAATAAATAAATACTCTGAACACCATGTGGAATCACGCAAACTAAGAAAGTCTCCTCTATAATAAGCGCGACTCAAACAAATAATAACAATAATTAATTGTAATATCTGATAAATAGTGGCATGCTGCCCACATTCTAAACTAAATACTTAACTCACTTTTCTTCTCCACATAAATGTAGGTTGCTGTTCAAGAAATAAACAGACTATTGAGTGGAGTTGTTCGGCCACTAGAGAGCGCTACGAACCAATTGTTTTAAAAGTAAACTTCGTCTAAAAGTTTATTTACCACAGTAAATTACTATGAAGCACAGTCATGCACATACTTTGTATATTTACAGTACGTAACATAAACCTATTAGTAGCTACTACCTCAGTGTGTATAAAACGTAACGTTAAAGCTTTACCCACAAACAAGAGAAACACGTTTACTGCACATTTCTAGAACAACCAAATCCAGCACAATTTACAAGCAACACATATACAAGGACAACATATTCGACAATTGACAGTGGGTTTACCTTTCGCGTGTCAACAAAAGTCTATTGTTTGTTTTTAGAACGAGGAATACGTGACATAAATAACACATGCGCATGCGACAGTGGGATGGGCACTAGTTGTAAGTTCTACTATGGAGAAGGCACAGCTCATTAGTATTAAATATAATTATAACACCCAGTGACGAGAGCCAGAGCAATAAATATGCTGACGTTAGTAGATACCACCCTTATAGTAAAGCACTGGCTTATGAATATTTAAAATTGTGTCGCAATAGTAAGATTCGATAAATATCAGTGTTGGTGGGCAAGGCAAATAGCACATAACATACACAGTGGTAATTCAAAGTGTTTTAAATAAACAAGAATAAAAGAAATATAAAATACATGTATAAGAAATAAAAGCAACAAAGAATAAAAAGAATTAAAAACAGATTCAATTTATTTAATGTGTATAGATTACAACAATATATTATATATACAATGTATTGATATAGGCCTATACAAAAATTAGATTTCCTTTTTATAGGTAAAATAAATAAATAAATAACTACACAAATTCCTGCATAAAAAAAACAATAAATAAAAACGCAAACAAATAAATAAATACATAAATTCCTGCATAAATAAAACAATAAATAAATATGCAAATAAATAAATAAATACCCACATTTATGCATAAATAAAACAATGAATGAATAAATGTACAAATAAATAAATAAATACACAAAGTCTTCCAGAAATAAAACAATAAATAAATATGCAAATAAATAAATACACAAATTCCTGCATAAATAAAACAATAAATAAATATGCAAATAAATAAATAAATACCCACATTTATGCATAAATAAAACAATAAATAAATAAATAAATAAATAAATAAATAGATAAAATAATACACAAATTCCTGCTAAAACAAAACAATAAATAAATACGCAAATAAATAAATAAATAAATACACAAATTCCTGCATAAATAAAACAATAAATAAATATGCAAGTAAATAAATAAATATCCGAATTCCTGCATAAATAAAACAATAAAAAAATAAAAAAATAAATACACAAATAAAATACACAAAAATACACAAAATACACTTGACGTTGGTTCGAACTTTTGCTTGGCTCGGCTCAGTTGGAGTTTCTGTGTGGAGTTTGCATGTTCTCCCTGCTTTCGCTTGGGTTCCCTCCGGGTGCTCCGGTTTCCCCCACAGTCCAAAGACATGCGGTACAGGTGAATTGGGTAAGCTACATTGTCTGTAGTGTATGAGTGTGTGTGGATGTTTCCCAGAGATGGTTTGCGGCTGGAAGGGCATCCACTGAGTAAAAACGTGCTGGATAAGTGGAAAAGAAAACAAATGAATGAATGATAAAACAATAAATACATAAATATGCGAATAAATAAATACATGTATATATAAATACACAAATTCCTGCATAAATAAATAAAACAATAAATAAAACAATAAATAAATAAATAAATGAATTTTAAAATCACAAATTCCTGCATTCCTGCAATGAATACATACACAAATATATAAATGTATATATAAATCTACAAATTCCTGCATAAATAAAACAATAAATAAATAAATATACAAATAAATGAATAATTGAGCGGTGTGAAGGGGGGGTCTACTTTCAGTTTAGCTTTTTCTTATTCCCCCAACATCTGTGTAATGTATTTAATTATTAATCTGGCCGCAATATTTATATGTTTATTTATGCAGGAATTTGTGGGATGGTGATATATATTTATTTATTTGCATTTCTTTATTTATTTCTTGATTTCTTTATTGTCTTATTTATGCAGATATTTGTGGTTTAATTAATTTATTTGCATATTTATTTATTTATTGTTGCTGGTTTCGTCCTCCATGGAGAAATGGTGAAGTAAATGCAATACATTTTGTGATCAGATCCAGTATTTTTTTTTATGATTTTATTTATTTATTTACTTTCAATTAATAATTTAATTATTGGTTATTGGTAGAAATAATACAATCATATACATAAAGGCATATAAAAAAACAAAATTAAAAACAGCAAAGACACATGCTTACAAACACCAGGGTATAACAAAAATAAAAATGCAATAAAGTTACATCTTAAAGAGACACAATGGAAGAATATAACGAGTTTTCATTGCTTTGGATTAATGGATAGTTCTGGATAGTTTCCAAATATTGGTCTACGTCAATTCTGAATCCAATTTTATGAAGTGAGAGAGCGGCGCTGCTGCCCCCTGCTGCCAACAGTGCACAGCTACACTTTGGGCGGATGTGGGATGAATGGGTGGAGAGAGAGAGCGACGGTCTGCTGACGTCCATTGCGAGCATCATCGCATCCAACATTTATCCCAGCAGCCGACTCCACCTCTCCAAAACGGGGGGAAAACTATCATTTATTAGGACGAAATCAGAATCAACCGGCCTTTATTTCATTGCTTTTGTTTATTTATTGTCTAAAGCAAATGGAGTTATACGGGAAGGTAAGTGAGAAACGGCGTTGTATCCAGGCTATAATGTTGTTTGGTCGTAATGGAGAGCCACGCAAAAGAAATAAATGGCTAATTTTGTCATGTTGTAGAAAAAAAAGACATTTGTTGTTTAGGATTTGCGATTTGACAGTGCGCATGATACTGACAGCTCATTAAAGATGTATTAAAATGATAAACGCAACATCAGTGAAGAGAAAAGCAATCAGCCGTAACAGCTAATTTATTCACATGAGCTGCTAATTTGGGCTTTTTGTACTCTATATGAGTGCTACAGCTGGCTATATGCTCTCATTTACAGCTCTAATATCTCTTTGTCTACATATCATCATTTATTATGCATTCTATATTTGAAGGCTATTAGCTTATAATATCCAGGGCTTGGTTAAAAAGAGACTGACCCCTTTAAAAGCGCTCAGATTGGAATGAAACAGGCTGCGTCTTAAAACCTAGTGAGCTGCCTATCTAGTCAGCATTCATTTTGGACGAGTTTCGAGTTTACACTGCATTTTCCCCCATCTAAGTGTGCAACTAAAGCTCTAACGTTTCAGTTCTCGTCACGATTTAATTAGTTTAACCCAATAGGAAGTTGTAAACAACAAAGCAATATCATTTATATTTTAAGAAATGTATTTATTTACTATATTTAGCTCTTTTTACAGATTTTACTTTTTTAAAAACAATATCAGACATTTTCCCAGTACAGGCATCTGCTTTGTGAAACATATGCTGGAGTAGTTGGCGGTTCATTCCGCTGTGGTGACCCCTAATAAATAAGGCACTAGCCCGAAGGAAAATGAATGAATATCAGACATAATCTTTGATTTTTATCACTGGTCATGCCTTTGTTTACACCAGCCATGTTTAAAAAATATCTAAACATTGTTGAGACAAGCAGACTCAATAGTGAGCTGCCTATATAGACAATATTTTGTGGGCTTTCATGTTTGCATGTACTTGCTGAACTAATTGCATTTTGGAAAGATGGTATCAACATGGGTTAAATCAAATAAAACTCTCACTGGATTTCAAAACATGGACAGCTCCTGGTGCTGATTTGTTTGTTGATTTTGCTAATTGTATGAAGTGTTATGTTAGCCTTAAAGGGATAGATCACTCAACAATGAAATTTCCTGACTATTTACACTGTATAAAATGCTGAGCTGCACACAATTCCTTTATGCTGTCCCAACACATATCGATGAAGTTAACTTAATCTGTTCTTAGAAATTTAGGTGGTTTGATCGTTAAACAATTAAGTTGTCCCCCCAAAACCTTAAGAATTGTGTTGATTCAACTCATTTTAAAATAAGCAGCAAAAATCCTTTTAAGTGTACTCAAGTGGTTCTGTACTATTCTTTTTCCAACAATCTTCAGAAAATCTTCATATGTGTTCAACAGAAGAATCAAATCTTGATGTTCCGCTGATGACGGCAGTTCTTTGCCAAAACAAGTACACTAAAAATCTTTTTGCTGCTTGCTCAAACTACTTGTTTAAATTAAGTTGAATCAACACAATTCTTTTTTTTTTTTTTTTTTACAAATCTGTCTACTTAGATTTGTAAAAACAATTAAGTTAACTTAATCCATTTGTGTTGGGACAACATGAAGGAATTGTGTGGAACATAGCATTTTTTACATTAATTCATTTTCCTTTCGGCTTAGTCCCTTTATTAATCTGGGGTCGCCACAGCAGAATGAACCGCCAACTTATCCGGCATACGTTTGACACACAGATGCCCATCCAGCTGCAAGCCATCTCTGGGAAACATCCATACACACTCATTCACACACATACACTACGGTCAATTTAGCTACTTAATTTACCTATAGCACAAACTCCACACAGAAATGCCAACTGACCCAGCCAAGGCTCGACCTAGTGACCTTCTGGCTGTGAGGCGATCGTGCTTCACACCGCGACACGAGAACCACATTATTTAGTGTTCTTTGAGGATTAGCCATGTCAATAAAGGCTTTTTGATATTTTTTAATATGTAGTGTTATAAATAAGCAGCAGAAGTCATTTATTTAAGTGTACTCAAGTGTTTCTATGCATTCCACACTATTCTTATTCCAGCAATTATCAGAAAATCTTCCTGTGTTTAACAGAAGAACCAATGGAATCTTGATGTTACCCTGATGAAGGCAGTTCTTTGCCGAATCGCTAGGTTTTTTAAGGATTAGCCATGTCAATAAAGGCTTTTAAATATTTTTTACACATTTTTCGAGTACCTTGGACCGATTTTTGCTGTTTATTCTGATAAATCCCTTACCTAAGGAGCACTGACACATGATTTAAGCTACCCTGGAGCACTTTTGGTTTGATTTTAAAATATTATGAACAAGCAGCAAAAGTAATTGTTTTAGAATACTCATGTGTTTCTTTACATTTACACTCTTTTTTTTTTAACAATCTTCAGAAAATCTTCTTACTGTATATGTTGAACAGAAGAATCGAATCTTGATGTTACCCTGAAGGCCGTGTTTCGAGTGCCTTGGACTGATTTTTGCTGTTTATTCTGATGAACCCTTTACCTAAAGAGCACTAACAGATTATTTAGGCTACCCCTGAGCACTTTTGGTTTTATTTTGAATTTAATCTTTCTTCTG